GAAAATAGGGTAAAAAAAGCAGCATGACATTATTCTTATGAAGCTGTCAGTTTCTAAAGAATTCATGTTTCTCTCATCACCCAATCAAGTTGCTTGAATTATTTTTACCTCTTTATACAGTTAATTTGTCCTACTACAATATTCATGTCATCACCTCACTTAAGGTTTCGTTTCCCATCTTATTTTCTTGGAATTTTAGAAGGGTACAGCAAGGGGCAACAGTGATGGGAGAGAAAGACAATGCATATAAATTCCCCCAAACCAGAAAATAAATATAACGTATTTTCAGAATTTTCTCTATAAAGCGTGTTCCACAGTGAAGAAGAAGATTGCACTATTATATTATCTAGCTAATCATTCTGCATTTAACCATGCTTTTAGCCATAGCACACACATTTGTTCTAAACTAAGATTCACCTTGTAGCCTTACAATATATATAATGGATAATGTCAATGTCAGCTTGGTCAGAAAGCATGAGGAAGTTTGGCCCTAAAACAAAACGCATCTTTAAACATTTGCAATTTCTCAAATCAAGTTTGCGGTATTTTGATGTGCCTTCTAAGGACTTTGGAGCCCTTGAAGTTCTTTTCCTTCTCATTTCTACTAGACAAGCTGGAACCATATTATGAGCTGAAGGGAAGGCAATTTGTTTCCTGCTAGAAGCACTGTCATTCTGTTTCCACTGGGAAAGACCCACACATGCTGCATCATTACAACTTAGAAAATTAAAAACCCAGTCTGAACTAAAAGCTTTTAATGTAACATAAGTAAGTTTAAAAATAGTATTGCCCAATATGTTGCTAAAGCAAGTAAGATACAGATATTTATTACTCTAAGTACTTTTTTCTAAAGCTCCTCTGTGAACATTTTTCTAGGGGGATTGCAGGATAGCTACAGGATGGATTGAGGTTCTGCTGGAAAATTTGCAGTTACTTCTGAAATGTCTCACTGTATGTAAAAGAGAGGAAGTAGAGCCAGGCTCAAATCAGCTTTAGGCAAGAATGGCTGATGGGATGTTGCTGTGAGGGCTGCAAACCAATTACTGTGTGATGGAATAAAACCAGGTAATGGTGGACACTGATAAGTGACGTGCAGTGCAGCTGAGGAAAGCGATCTGTTCTTCTAACTTGCTCATGTTGTTTGGAGAGCTTGAGATGAAGACTAATGATTCTGTCTGCTAACCAAATGAATCATTCAGTACTGGACAGTTATCAAAACTGGACTCCGGCTATTTGGGCAGAGCGTGAGCAGCAAAAAATAAAAATTGCATAAGCTCTGAAGGCTCTGAATGGCACTGAGAAGAACACACTTCAGAAAACATAGCAAGTTCTCTGGAAATATAGACATGTTTTTGATAGCCAAGGCTAAAGTCTGGTCTGTCATTTTCTGTATGAAAGAATATAAGTTATTTGGGAGAAGAGCCTTGTCTGGGAAACAATTAACATAATAGCAACAGGGGAACCAAACATAATTATGCATCACAGTAAATAATAGTATTCTAACTGGGTTTGCATGGACAGGTTTTAGTAGTGGAAGGCTACAGGAGTGGCTTCTCTGAGAAGCTGCCAGAAGCTTCCCCCACGTCTGACAGAGCCAATGCCCACTGGCTCCAAGACTGCTGCAGGCCAAGGCTGAGCCAATCCGAGATGGTGATAAATGCCTCTGTGATAACACATTCAAAAGGAAAAAAAGTTATTGTTCCGATTTAGTTGTGCTCAGAGAAGAGAAGGGTGAGAGGAATATGTGAGAACAACTCTGCAGACACCAAGGTCAGTGGAGAAGGAGGGGTAGGAGCTGCTCCATGCACCAGAGCTGAGATTCCCCTGCAGACTCTGGTGCAGCCCATGGTGAGGCAGCTGTGGAGGTCCATGGGGGGTCCATGGAGCAGCCCATGGAGGTCCATGGGAGTGCAGAGATCCCCCTGCAGCCTATGGAGGAGACCACACTGCAGAGGTGAATACCTGAGAGAAGGCTGTGAACCCGTGGGAGGCCTGGCTGAGGGTTCTGCAGACCCATGGAGAGAGGAGTCCACACTGAAGCAGGCTTCCTTGAAGAAGTTGTGATCCTGTGGGGGACCCACACTGCAGTAGGCTACTCTTGAAGGACTGCATCCCATGGAAAAGTGACCCATATTAGGGCAGGTTGTGAAGAACTGTATCCCATGGGAAGCACTCAGGCTGTAGAAATTTGTGGAGAGCTGTCTCATGTGAGAGCAATCCCACAGTGGAGCAGGGGAAGGACTCCTCTCCCTGAACAGTGGCAGGAACAACCTGTGGTGAACTGACTGTAACCCCCATTCCCTGTCTCTCTGCACCCCTTTGGGGGAGCAGGTAAAGCCAGGAAGGACAGAGGGTAGTGGGGGAGGTATATTTAAGATTTGTTTTGCTTCTCATTATCCTGCTCTGATTCTGATGGGTAGTAAATTCAGCTAATATCCCCAAGTCAAGTCTGTTCTGCCTGTGACAGGAATTGGTGAGTGATGTCTCTTCCTATCCTTATCTCAATTCATGAACCTTCTGTTTTATTTTCTTTCCCCCACCAAGTGGTGAAGAAGAGCGACAGAGCAGCTGTGGTGGGTACCTGGCATTCAGCCACGGACAATCCACCACAAAAAGCATAGTGAAAAAACAGGTTGCTGGTGACAGAACAACAACAGGGTTGCATAAGACTGTCTTGTGTCTGCCAGCTAAAGCCAGGACGTGCTGTAGTGACACACATGCAGTAGAGTGAGGCAAAATCTGCAATAGCAGTTATAGACATGCCATTAACAAATCTAAGCAATTGAAAAAAACCCAACAAAATCTAGAAACACACAGCTTCTAAGGAGATTCACACCTGTAAGGAGACTTCACTCCATTCCTCCAAAATTCACTCGAAAATCAATTTTGTTTTTGCTAAAAATCCCATGAAGAAAACACAGATCAGCACTGATTGTGGATAACATATTCCAAGTGCTGCTAAAGAAATTGCATGACTCAGGGGAAACAAAATGTGCTTTCCAATTTTCCTGTGCTCCTGTGAAAATCAAAGACATAGCACATCCACCAATGTGATTAACGATGAATATCCCTGGTCTTCTCCAGACCTTACATTACATATGTGTTGAAATGTACTGCTAACTTGCACCCATTTCCTTCTGCAGGATCAAGAAGAATTCCTTATACTATGCTGTCAACCCATGTAGCTAGGAAGGACAATTTTTTATGCCTCCCTTAAAATGACATTTTTAAAGATTTAGAATCTTAAGTTAGTTTTCTGCAGAACAGCTACTCTCTAAGGAATTCCAGCAGAGCAGAAAAAAAGTTCTGAATAAATTAGGAAAAAAAGACATTTAATTATTTCACTGCTGTTAGTCCCATGTGCATTTCTGTGGCACTCATATGTTGAAAGTATCAGCATATGTGCCTGCAATCTTGAAGTATGCTCAATATTTCAGCAATTACATTTACAGTAATAGGACACAAGGGAATGAAATGAAGTTGTGCTAAGGGAAGTTCAGATTGGCCATGAGGAAAAGGTTCCTCACTGGAACTCTCTCCCCAGGTAAATGGTCACAGCACCAAGGAGTTCAAGGAGTCCGAGCTCAAGGAATATCTGGGTGAAGCTCTTGGTCATATGGCTTAGTGTTAGGAAGTCCTGTGAGGAGCAGGGAGTTGGACTCAATCCTTACATGTCCTTTCAAAATGAGACACACTATCATTCTGATATCCTTTAACAGATACCTTATCTCTGTAGTAGTTCTTATTAAAAAAACCACCAAAGTCGATATTCAGCATATTCACCTCCTTCGTCACAGTTACTTAAAGTAAAACACTTTTTACTAGTCTGTAAGATAAATGCCTATTAAACTACAACACATCTGTATATTTATAACATGATGTCTTTTTATTTTTTTTTTTTTCATAAGTTGTGCGATGCTTTTTCTACAGCATCAAATTCAGGGAGACTGTCATGACGGCAAAAATTTTAAGATACTTGAAAACATTCATAAAGAAGTTTGTTAAACCATGTGGATGAAAAATTAATCAGTAAACATAAATCAAGCACACCCTGAAGGTTTAAAGACTGAACCATTATTTTATTTTGGGAGTGTTGAATCATGATTTTCAATACTTTGAGCTGGCAGTTGCAAGACACTTGCAAGCTGAAATACCAGTTTAATGAGTAGCCTATAGACTACCATCAGAAATTTTTCGAGGTTGAATCATACCAAAAATGTTGCAAAGATAAAAAATAACTTAAAAATGCTGCTGAAGCACCAGGAACCATTCTTAAAATCTCTTAATACTTATAATGGGGGGAGCAAGGGGCTGGGAGGGCTTATATTTGTTTATTTGTTCGTTTTAGAAAACCTAAGTGCAGTCTCCAAGACTTTAAAATGGTGATTAATATAAAGACAAGAATAGACTTGCTTAATTGAAGCAGTTAATATTAAAGAATATTTGAGATGATGAATAATAGGATATCAGGTGAAAAACATGAAAAAATATATAGTAAATATATTTTATTTCTTGCGTCAAAATTTTCCTGCAGGAAAAGATATACTATCTTGAGGACAAAGCATTTGCCTAGTTTCAAAGACCACCACATTTGTACTAGTAAACACTTATACTGGCTTTTGTGCTGTACTCAAACATTTTGCCAAAGATATCAGCTTTGTTCTTTAAGCCCTGTAATGGCAGAGTGTTAAATAAAATATTCTTCTATGTAATTAACCTTTGGTTCAGATGTGAGTTTATGTGGGAAAAAAATGTGAGGAAATTGCTGCCACACTTGTACGACTCTTTCATCTGAATGAAGAAAACAGATGTGGCCAAAAAAAGCTGCTTAGATTAGCTAATATGTCCCACATACGTTTCTTCAGTCCGTGCATCCATGCATAATAAACCACATAATGCACCAAGTTTAAAGGGAATTGCAGTCACATAAACAGCAAGATGATACATTTGGGTTTAGCAATTCATAATTAACCTTTTTTTCTGAAATTGACTAGACTGACCTGTAAGAAGAGAAACTGTAATAACCACTTTCCTCTAGAACCTCTTCAATTAGAGTCTGAGACACAAAAGAACTTAATTTCAGTGAATTATGTTCATTAAGAGTAATAAATGAATACATATAGGTAAATATACAGCTTACCTGCAACTGCTCATATGTCATCCCTTCTGCCATGCCAGAAGTGCCAAGAATGCCTTCAGGTAAAAGGCAAGTAATGTTATACTACTGAATTTGGAATCTGTGCTCCCTTGTCAGTTTCTTAGCAATGCCAAGAAACATAATGACAAGACAGAAGCTTCATGATCAGTAACTCCCACTGAGCACAATGACCCCCTGAAAAGGTGGGGTCATTTTATGGCATGATATGAACGTTTGGCGCACACTCATTATGGAAGTATTCTAACTAATGAAAAATAACTTAAAGACTTAATGTAACAGAACTCAGAGATGCAACTTTCTTATTTTTTCCCACTCACAGTGGAAATTTACAGCGGAAAGGGCACACAGCCAGCAGCAATTTGTGAGGACAAAAGTATTGTCTGCAGGTTAAGAGATTCAAAAATTACAGATAATGAGCATATCAACAAATTGCATTATCGTCTCCAGGAACAAAATAATACTCATATTTAAAGGGATTGTTAGGGACTCATTTCCTACTCCAATGTCACCCTTGACACCTAGTATTAGTTCTGGTTTTTGCAATAAGCTGTGGAACAGACACGCTATTTTCAACACAAAGACCATCAAAACTAGAGTTTCTCACTCTTCTTTCTGGCACCACAGATTTTAATGTTACTGTATCCTCCAGTCCATGGATTGCAACACAGTTTTTTCTGTATTTAGAAGAATGTAAATGACACAATTATCAAAATACAGGCTGCATGTTTCCCTATGTCCACTCCACAAAAAACCACATCATTAGAAAAGTCTCTGAACTAGGAATTGTAGTTCCTCGCCCTGGATGGTGCCACAGCTGGCAAGTTTGATTTTACACAGTGTTTATGATTTGTCTGGCTGAGTATCACTAGTCCAAAGCAGAATTGACACATATGTTGATATCTCTTCTAAAGTGTGTGAAAGTGTGTATATATATATATATATGTGTGTGTGTGTGTGTGTGTGTGTGTGTGTGTGTGTGTATTTTTCCCTCCTCAAGTTCATATGGTTTGATCTAGCTGTGTAATTAAATCAACCCATTACAACTATTTCAAACATCACAAAAGAAAAACATAAGGGTTTAAATACAGTTGATTTTACCCCAAGAACCCCAAACTAAAAACAAACAAACAATCCCCCATCCCCACCCCCCCCATCAGTATGGTCAACATAATTTTATTGTCTTTAAAAACTGATCTTAGAGTAGCAATTCCTTCTGCTTTGATACTTTACATTTTATTAGGAAAATATATGCCACTACAGAAGTTTATGATGCTTTCTTTACCTTTATTATCATCTGGAAGCAATATATGTCCACCTGCCAGTCTGCTGTGAAGATAATCAATTCAGCAGCACCTAGGGAAAAAAAAAAAAAAAAAAAAAGAGACCAAAAAAATAAAGACACCTCCTTCTCATTTGCCAAAACTTCAGAGACTTCTAGAAGGCAGGTTACACTTTATGCTTCCCAGCACAATCAGAAGTCAAAAGAAATTTCAGTACTTTTTAGATTAATGAAAAAGTGGTGAACACCATTCTGAGCATCCTACCTTTTTCTCTCCAGAAACACTGAGCATTGCACACTGCACTTAGTATAAAGCACTGAATTTTTCAGATTATCTGAAAAAATGTCACAAACTACACATTTGTGTGAGGATAAAGAGGAAAGTGTATTCTCTTGAACCTATGAGAGAAGCAGCTGATGACTCTGGTTTTAAAACTGTGGCTTCAAGTGAAATTGTTAGCTGATATTCAAGTGGTATAATACCCATCAGAGGAATTCCAGCACTTTTGAAATCTGAAAGTCAGTTCAGCTACTTGATTATATGAGCAATGATACTGACATTAAACTTAAAAGCATCTAGTTTTGAAAATATCCCCTGGTAACAGCTCTAATGGCACCACCTTCATTTACAGGAAAGAAATCTCAGTTATGCATTTCTGCAGCATGATAACAATTTTACAGTTACAGAAACAGAAGAATCTCTGTTTTTGGAAGATCTTTACCCCACCACTGATCAGTGGAGGAATTTTTTTGTCTGTAATTCTTATTATGTTTTCTAACTTGGCATAGTTAAAACCCCATTATTTTAAAATTTTATTTCCAGAAATCATACAACCTCATAAAAACATTTGCTGTAAGAATTCATCATCATCCTTTCCTCTGTTTAGGTCCCTCCCATTCCCTCCAAATGATATCCAAATGATATTTCCTTCAAGGCAGAATGCCCAGAATTGCATTCAACATTTCAACCATTTTCAATTTACTACAATTTACTTTTCAAATAGAGTATTTCTTCCCTTTAAATTTAATAGTTTTTAAGCTAACACAATTTTACAGTTGATAACATTCACAAATAATTTCCTTTATTTCTGAACACCTGAAAATGAGGTTAATTTTATAATAAACACTTCCTTTCTCTTACCATATTTTTGGGCATTCGTTTCTGAAAACATCAACTCAATACACAATGAGCAGGTATTTCTTAGATGTAATGTTATGGCTGAAATACAGGAATTGTTTTATGTAAATCACAGCTTGATTTATAGGACAGTATGAAACTGATAGCTCAGAAAGAAGTATCTTTAACTACCTTTCTAATACACTACCAATGTGCCACCTTCCAGGAAGTTTTAGCACCTCATGTTAATTATTACAAAAGCAAAGGAAGGATCCAGCATTTGGGATCAGTCTGTTTCATAGCAAACAATGACATAAAATATTGCATAATTCAGTGGAAGTAGGTGATAATCAAATTAAATTACAGAGGGAGAATTATGTGAATGATAATAAGTCACCTTAGTCATCAAATTTTAGGTACAATAATAAATCTAATAACTACTTTATCATCAATTCATAAATGAAATATCTTAGCTTCAGTCTCCCACAGTACACAGATGCCAAGGAAGTAAAGTCCAAATCCTTTGCTGATTGCAATCCTCTCAGGAGATTCTGAAGGAACATTTAGAAATTCTGATATTAGTCCTTAGATCTTTCTCTGCTGGAAAGCATCCATCATGTCACTGGAAAACATGCAAGAACGCTTTTTCAGTCAGGCCATTCTTACAAATCTGCAGTACTTTTAAATTGATGACACTACAATGTTGCTGACACACTGTGCAACAGCAGGACAAGGTATGTTATATTCAAGGTACTCTGGGATGCTGCTCTCTTAAGATTAATGGTTTCGGCAGGAATACAGTCCAAAATATGAAAAAATATTAAGGAACTATTAACAAATCAAGTAAAGCTTGCATAAATTAAGAGCTTATATAATCTCTAGTTACGTTGCCTCTCCTCTTGTCTTTTTGAGCTCTGATGAGATGAAATCTGGCTTTGTGTGTTAGAAGCTAGCAGGTCCTTTCCATTTACAGAAAGAGTTCTAATGACAAGATACAAACTTGAAACCAAACTGAAAAACTTCATACTTAAGGAGATTCAATATTTTCCAAACATAGGATAGTTGGAGAATATTTCAAATACTTCCTTTTGAAAATGGACTCTTATATTTTTGTGATACTAATATCAACAGAATGATTGAATGGAAAGAAAGACAAACTTGACCACAAGTAGTAAGTGGAGTACCACACCTTTTTGATTTCTAATTTCAGTTTACAAGGATTGTTCTGCTGGCTGAAGAGGGACTACTTGAATCTCTCAATGATTCTGCTTTTCAAGTTGCATGCACAGGTGGAGGAAGCTACATGAAACAAAGAAATACACTTTCACCATTCAGTTACACCTGCCATAAAAATGACCCATTCAGAAGTGCCATTACTGAGAAATGTAGCTACCCTGCAAAAAGAAACATGGATGTCTAATGGCATGGTGATAAACAACAGTATAACACTTGATTTAATTGCACATTATAATAAGGCTCCTTTGTTGGCCTGTTCTGTTAGGCTTAGCTTGCCATGTAGCTCAGCTCCTCTAGTCTTGAAGCTAAATATCATTATTAGCCTAACACTGGTAATACCAGATTTACCTCCCTGATCAAAGTGCTAGTATTTGGGACATTTTTCTACAGATGAAGCACGTAGAACTTACACTAGATTTCATGTTGGCTATAATGAATTGCTCCATCTGAAATTAATAAAGAAGTTTAGACCTTCATTGAATGTGCATAGAATGGTTTCAATGACCTCTTTTAAGGTCTTTATGGGTCTTAATACAATTCAGAGCACCCCTTTTGCTCTAAGCTTCCTCAGGGAGGTAATTTACCTTTCACTTGTTTAGAAAGCATAACCGATTTTACATACTTTTTCTTCCTGTATCCTTTTGGTTGAAAAAGAACACATCTTTCATCTATATTTAGAAAAAAAAAACAAAAACCCAAACAAAAAACCCACAAACAATGTACTTAAAGTCTTCAATAAAGACTTTAAAATAATTTTTCCTTTAACATAATTTTTACATTCCAGCAGCAAATGTACAGTTTCAGCTGTTGGTAACTGCAGTGACATCAACCCACTCTGACAACAATTCTGTGGTATGTTATCACCCTTTTGAATTTATCTTCTATGTTGTTTCTGCATAGTTGCTTATACCTGCAGACACTGTTTGAAAAACGATTATTTTCTACCATTTATAATCATTTCATTTATGTAAATTCATGATGTACCACTCAACTGAATTCAGGAAGATTTTTGACTTAGGGAGGGGTTGACCACTAAAGATTCACATTCAAGCACTTCCACAGCAGACATTATAGAGACATTTATCCCACTGGAACAAATTACTGCTCTTAGACAGCCATAAATCCAGAATGCTTTTATTGGCCTCACAGGAGTCCTGATTTGCTCTGACAAACCAGGGATCAAAGTCACATGCTAAGCACAAAAGACTTCTCCAGTCAGCTGCTGGCATGCAGAGATTTTTTTTTTTCTTACAGACAGATACTACTCTTTTCCCATGCAGATAAGGCTTTACACATATGCTTTAAGTCAGAAGTTGAATGCTCCTTAGCCTATGAGAGTAAAAAAAAATCATGCCTTAGGAAAGGATGACAACATATTCTATGGATTACATACCACTGCAGAGTGCAGTTAATGTACCATGGGGATACTGGGATATTCTGAAGCAGAAATGGTAAAGAACAAGTCCAGTGCTTGAGAAGCTTGGAGTTGCCTCAGGCACTAGTGTTCAATTTTAGCTTTTATTTTAATGAAATCAGTTGTCAGATCAGTTAAAAAAAAAAAAAAAAAGGCCAAGGATTTACATAATGCTTTTTAAAAAGCTTTCCCTTACATTGTTTTCCAGAGATCACTCTGATTCTTGTTCCCATGGAAACAGGAAGGCTGCTGGCAGCCAAGAACTAACAGGCAAGAACTCTTCCTTGCAAACTTCAGTTTAGAACTATCAGCTGGAATATGCAAGAGTTTGAGAAAATAGCTATGTATTATAAAAGATACTTGACCTTAGATTTGTAAAAACATAAACAAGGGCAAGGGAGGCATCTGGAACATAGAAACAAGTACAGGTATATATTCTGGTTTCTCTGAAATCAGAGAAAAGCTGTTGCTACTGTGACAGTGGTCAATTCTGAGCCAGTAGTTGAGTTGCTGTAAGTTCTCAGTTCTTGAGCATCTGCACTAGAATAATTCATATTAATTAGTAAGCCACTTGAGAAAACCTTCTTCAACAGAGAGGATAGGCTCACTAATGAGCACCTTGGACATACTCCTAAAATACCACGTAAAAACTGAACTGCCTCATTTCTGCTGATAGGAGAAGGATATAATTTCCAATTATTTTAAATAATGTTTGTTTCCTTTGTCTCTGATAATTTAATTATTGTATTACATGTTTTAATAAGCTTGAGAACTAAAAAGAAAAAAACCCAAACAAAAGAGAGACGTAAAGCACACCAAGTTCAGTTATGTTATTGTGTTCTAAACAAAACCAAACGAATTTGGCTGATCAATCTCAAAAGCCTTGAGGTGATAAACATCACATCCCAAATGTAAACACTTCATTTTGGAAAATAAAAAGCTGTTTACTTAAATAGCAAATTTTTCAAATAGCTGAATGGTAGCCATCTTTCTGCAGAATAAAGATGTTCCAATCACATTTTTAGGTGAGAATTCAAGGCAGCTTTTGTATCAGCTCAGCTCCATTTTTGTTTTGGAATCAACATGAAATAACTTCAGCTCTGTCTAACTATGAAACAGATTAACTTAGTTTTGAAACAAGTCTTAAATTTGAAAAATATCTGACATTTCAAAATAGTTAATATATTCAGGATTTCATCTATTACACTAAAAATCCCAAGAGAGTATTACTATGTAATGATAATTAAAATACAATTTCAAAGTTATTTCAAAACTATTACTACAGAGGAAAGCATTTTATTGACTCTCCAGGTCAGTATATGATATTGTCACCTTAAATAGTCATATCACTGGTATGACAGAGCGTTGTAAAAATACTTTACTGTACAATCAATTTTTCTGAGGTGAGCTACAGCTTTTTTTTTTCATATGACTCAATTATTGCCATCCTCCACATACTAATATTCAAAGTTAGTCTTTATTTTAATGATATATTTTTAAAGCATCCTGCCATCTGCAAAAATGTCAAGTTCTGTTGTTTTTAAAGAACAGTAACTAAATTAGCAGCACTTTGCAGTAACATCATTTTGACAACAGCAAATGACTAAAAAGTACAGAATGTCAGAAGCAACAATAATGCATCCATGAGTGCTGAAGATAATTTTGTGCAGCTGAACAAGAACCTGCTGAACAGGGTCACTGATCTGATGCACCTTCCTTTGTGATACAGCAATTCCTGCCACCGCTGTAGATGGCAAGAGTGAAATCAGGAGGGCAGCTCATTTTGTTGCCTTAGCACATTAATAGCATACAATGTTTAAAACCTGTAGATGTAAATACCAAGTTGAAATGCTTGATTTGTTTTCCCAATAATGCTGGGAACAAAAAAAGGATAATCTAAAACGTTAAAAATTTAGACAATGTAAGTGACAGTGTGTTTCAAAAGAAAATCCCTTTCTCTGAATCACTAAATTACTCCATGAGAGAAGCAGTATTAATGTACTTCAACAATTGTTAAAATTTTGTCACATTTATTCGAAAGGATAAATATATGACAAACATAATTTTCTTAACTGATTTTTTACATAGACTAACCCAATATATTTTTTATATATTTTGATGTTATTGAATTTATTTTCATTCTTCCCTAAGCATTATAATAATATATCTGACATAGAGTATTTCAATGAGGTAAATCTATTGTTTAGGATTTTTAATCTTCTGTATTAAAGTCATACACATTGTCAGGCCCATAGATTAAATAAAAGTTTATCAGCAGACTTCCATTATAAAACATTGCATCACAAAAGAAAATTAGCTCACAAAACAATCTTTACAAGATGACCATTAGACCTCGGAGTAAGTGAAGAGCTTTGGCCAAAGTACTGAACTTCAGCCAGCAGCCCTGTACCTCTCCTAAATACAATTTTCTCTAAACCACACTTCAGAGACTAATTTAGATATTCTAACATTTACTCTCACACAAACACCCTGAGGATCATCAAGTCTTATGTATAAATTTACAACCACAGAAAATTTTCTTTTTTTTTTTTTTTCCCGATGTGATCTTATGTCAAGATTAAAAATTCTACTGAGAGGGTGATGAAATCCAAATACCAACATTAACTAGTCCACAACAGAACTATTACCACTTTTTTTACTGATGAATTTCTGTGCTAGCTACTTTAAGAAGAAGAAAGATATTCACAGATATTAGTGCCTAAAGATCATCCAGATCTAAACTATGCTCTCACAGAAATAAAGCGATGCAGATAAACATCCTTCTCTACCACAGGGAGACACATTTCTAGTAGGATCAGGAAGACAACATCATTGATATTGCTGGGGTTTTTTGTTGCACTGCCTTTTGGCAGATGTCTTGAGAAAGCCAAGTGAAATTCAGTTTGACATATTTTTCCCTAGATCTTCTCTTAATAATCAGTAAGAGGAAAAAAAGCCTCTGAGTCACTTAAAGAAGAATGTACTTACATTGGTTCTGCTCAAGGTGACAGTGGAGGCCATGCTATAATAATCTAAAATATATGCCACAAGAAGAAAAATTTTGATTTAGTTCTTTTTGCTTCATTTCCTCATCTCTGCCAACTGTTTTAATACTGCTGTATTAAAGGCCCAAAAGAACCCAGTGTTGTCTTGCCATTATAGCCTTAAAATCTTCAGTTATGTTAAGGACACTCATAAAGGCTTTACTTCTTTGACATGTTCCCTTTTTCACTGCTCCCTGTTCTCTGATATTTGTCTCATCTTTTCCTGTCAATGGCTTGTATTACAAACCAAAAGTAAATCAATCAGGGCCTTTCCTTTTGCAGGTCTTAAATTATTTTTTTTCCTGGATAGAAATATGTTTAGAATGATAACAGCAAACAGCAAAGACCAAGAAGGATATAATTTGGATTTCTCTGTTATTCAACTTATGGAGCTTTTTCACTTTTCTAGTATGACAGCAACAATATGACTTAAAAGTCTAGGAGGACCAGATTTAATGTCTACTTGTAGTACCTGTGTCCTTCAAAGACTTTAGGAGTTCCAATGAAGTCCATACACTCCAGACCACTCCAAGTTTCTTGTTTGGTTGGTTTGGTTTTTTTTTCAAACACAGAAGTACAGCATTATTTGGAAGATGAGGGTACACTTGTGAATAGGCTGCTGAAGACTTGACCAAAGCTTTTAAGACTTTTATCCAAAAGGAAAACATCACTTGCAAAACATAATGGATTTACTCAATTTACTCACAGAACTGAAAATATCAACAAAGGCTAAAGTATTTTTCTGTAGAACATTATAGGTTGCAGACATTATGTTTAAACTGAGTTGTTATTATACGGTACCCTTTAGCAAACAGTACTGAAGGTTGAGATCAAATTTGGATTTGTATTCCATAATTGAAATTCTTAATACAGTTTTTATATTAAAATCTGTAAAATAGAACTTAGTACAGACAAAAAGCACTCTTTTTTTGAAGATCACTATCTTAACTGATCAAAATAATTTTATTTCAGATATTATTTAACTCAGACAATATACATTCTGAAATCACAGCTTCACAGAGTGTGAAGCTTCTCAGTAAAAGGAAAAGTACTTCAAATGGAAAATTTGTTTATCAATCATGATGCATAAATACATGATAATTTGCAAGGGCTGTATGAAATATTCATTTTACAGGAGAATTTCCCATTTCATTCTGCAGAAGTTTGGCTGGGATAATGACAATTAATATGAGATCTTACTGATTCACTATTGGAATTCATATTTTTAAGAAGTACCTTAATGATACTTCAGATAACATATTTCTATATAAAATGTAATTATCTCTTTTTCTAACATTTAAAAATACAATTATAAATAAAACCATGATGTTTCACATTGCAAAGAGCTACAATTTGTTCATCTCATCATGAACAAACACTTGATTTTCTTAGTGTGGGAACCATGGGTGAGTGAAGGCTCTCTTAAAAGCAGATCAATAGGCAATAAAGAGGAAGAAATAAAAGAGGAAACACTCTATATGCAACAGGAGAATAATGTAATCATGTTCAAAAACTTGAAAATTGTTAGGTTTAATTTAAGTTAAAGTTTGAATTTCTTGCAAGTACAAAATTACCTGATCACAGTCTCGATCCAGAACCGTCAACATAATCTGTCATTATTAAAAAAAAAAAAAAAATTAAAAAAAAAACCAGTTTTAATTGTGGTTGGCATCAAAGATTGCAGAGAAACTATCAGTATTCCCTGACTCCTTCTCATGTTTCCTCTAAGGGAAATCTGCCCAAATTCACTAGTTTACAACTGTGCATTTTTAAAGGTTGGTTTACTATGCATGTCCAAAATAGAATGACTTTTACTAAATAAATGTTTCTTTCCTTGGTCAGTACTAGTGAAGTGGGGAAAAAATTGGTATTACAGCACCAGGACAGCAATCTCTCAATGTCAGAAATAGACGTCTACATGTTTCAATGCTAGATCCTTCTCTAAACTCTGGACCAATACTTTCCCAGCTTGCAGATTTCACTAGCTGAGATAAGCAATAACAAATGGGCACAGACACCAGGGAACTGAAAGAACAAATGTGATGTCCTGACGGATGGCAGCTGCCATAGCCTGAGTACAGCAAGAATTTTTATCTATTTTTTGTGGCAGTAGGGAAAACCACAGTTTCAAGGAGTAGTTACAAATTAAGACAAGGAAATAGTTTTGCTGATGATTATGTGAGGGGCAGAGATTTGTATAGCAGTGAATTTCTACAAAGAGAAAGAAAATGTGCCTTCTTAAACACTCAAGCACGGGGAGGCTGCAACAGGACTGCAAGCATGGGGAGGACTGCAAAAGATGTAAGGTTAGGAAGGGACAAAGGTCAGACTGGATGGTCTATGGTTATGCTAAGAATAATTAAGAATGGTTATGCTAAGAACCATTTTGAAAGCAAAAATAAAATATTGCACTTGACTCAAACAGGGTCTGTGGAGAAACACAGGAAAAGAATCAATGCTATCATTATAAACACTTACCTAGCTAAGTTAAATAAAAAAATTTGTTTGGGAGTCAGATGCAGCCAAGAGTGATTTTGAGAGTGTTTTTCCAGATATGGAAGAAAAGCAGGAATGAAGAAACAATTAACAGCATTTCTTAATAAGGGTGTTGCCAAAGTGATCCGAAAAAACAATGGTCAAGAATGTGTTTGATGCATTACTGAAGAAACAGAAGAAAAAGGAAGATCTTTAGAAGAGGGATGGTATGACATATTCTGCTTCTGTTTGTTTCCTTTTTGAAGAAATGAGGCCTCCAAAATCAAGAAATGGGTGTTTATGCTTACACAGAAAGACCAGAGGAGCTCAAAGGGACAAGATACTACTCTACACTACTACAACATACTCTAAACTATCAAATACACAAGCACCATTTTCTATGGAAAAAACATCTGTTTAAAAAATAAAACCAGAATTTGGCTAATCAACTGATGTCAGTTTACGTTTCAGTAGCAAGGTCCATTGTTAAAACTATCATGTAAAGCTTTTGTGTGCAAACACCTTCTAACAATATCCTCAAGCAGAATTAGTGTCCTAGGCTGAGGTAAAGTGAAGCCGTAACATTAACCAAGGACATGTTTCACAAGGAACTTGAGGAACTGTTCCACTGTGAAACAACCAACCAGAATTGATAGTAACAGTGCTCAATTATATTTAAATCATAAATTACACCTATCTTATCTGAGGCTGTCTTTCAGAAGCACTAAAACTTGGTTAATTATACCTGAAACAACACATAAATATTATTTTCTGCTTAAAAGAAACGTACAACATGTATGTTAATATTTCCTATTGCCAGACATATATGTTAATATTTTATTTTACAAAACAGCATTAAACAAACTCCAAATCCTCACTTGACTATCAAGTTGCTGTTTGATGTATCAAAAATTTGCTTTCATCATAATAAAAAACTCAGCCTGACAGAGTATTTTAATAAATTATGTCAGAAAATTGTTACAGCAAGTAACAACATAGGGTGACTAGAAGTCCACAGAATATGTACCTGGATATGCATCAAATTGTTACAGTTACTGCTAGCACTGCAGCCACAACATTGTCTCTAGTCGGGATAAAGAGAGGGAATATTTGCCCATGTTCTTAGAGGTTCACTAGATATTTACGCCACCATTCCATTCCATTGCTATCTATATGCAATAACACATGCATTTCTTCTTCTTAAATAATCCTACTGAAGCCAAGACCTTGAAGACAGCAGTATGACCAGTTATTGGGCCAACATCTAATCAGCAAAAAAACTGAATGTAAACATTGAAATAATTTATTGCATACTGCTAAAAAATGTGTAGAAGGAAAGCTAATGTTTGATTACATCTATTATTCATGTGCTTGGAAAGCATTGTCTTAAAGCAAATATTAGTCTTAAGCATTTGTCTTAAATCATTCCTGTAAAACCATTCTTTTGATGGTAATTTGGATGGTAATTTGAGACCACCCTGGTATCTCATTTTGATTGAATGTATGTTTAATGAAAAGATAATTCTGCTAACTGAAAGTCTGAGTAGCAAGATTAGGATATTCTTACAATTTTCACATACAATTAATGTATTTTAATACAAGGCCTGTGTCTTTGTCTACATAAGATCTTTTTCCCACACTAGTAACATCATAAACATTATCACTAAACAAGAACAGAGGCACATAATCACTCAAACAGCAGATAAGAAAAAAAAAAAAGATTTTATGTCAAACTTAAACTAGTTTTCCCATTGTTGGTCTTGTTACAGCAATTATATTAGTTCTTGAACAACTGCAGAGCAAACATATTTTTGAGAGTCTTAGGTCTTTTCATGTTCAAACATACTTTTGTGTTGGACTCTGAAATATTTTTCCTACTTTCCTGAGATCCTCTAAATTTAAAAAAAAAAAATCTGAAGGAGGCTTTCATCTGTCAAACTGAATTCGACTTTCCTGAGATCCTCTAAATTAAAAAAAAAAAAAAAATCTGAAGGAGGCTTTCATCTGTCAAACTGAATTCACTTTAAAACCAAAAGAAATTATACATCTTTAGGCCAAATCCATCTCCCTTAAAAGGAGACACAGAGAGAGAATGAAAGAGAAATAAACAACATTTTAATCTTTGCTGATACTTTGCTTAGCAAAACAGACACCACAATTCTGTGGCAGCTAGAACAAAAGACTATTTTATAAGAGTAGCTAAACTACACAAGAGCCAATAATCTAGGCCCTCATAGAAGCAAAAGTTCTTCAATTAACTTTGTTAATGAGACAGAAAAACAGAAAAGAGAGGGCCCGTGGCCTAGAAAGTGAAGGAAATGAAAAATATTGTGCCTCTTCAAGGAACAGATATCTTACCTGCTTAGGACGCAGACACAATAACACAAATACAAAAGTAGAAGCTCTGAGTGAATGTGAGTCATGTTGCTTGGGGTAAGGATTTTGAGTTGCAACCTCAGACACCCTGTCACAACAAATACCATAATATATTGTGTGAATGTATGCAAGAAAATCTGTACCTAAAACCACTTGGCTAGAAAGCTAAAACTGAACACAGATGTTTGCTATAATTTTATAAAAAATAACCCCCCTTTCCAAGTATTTATATACAAAATTTGGTTTGCAATATTTCACCCTTTGGCAGATGCAGATAAATGGTCTCTTATCAGGAAAGGGTTCATATCCAAATTTGTTTGATCAGTTTGATGACTCACCACATTTGACTTGCTAATCTGCCATCTTATGAGTGTATTTACAAGTGCATGATATTTCACACCAAGAGTCTGTCTCACCACTGACAGTACACAGCAGAGATGCAATATTTTCTGATTCATATGCTAAATTTAGGAAAATACTTATTAATGCTAAAAACCAAAACCCCAAAGATGATGAACATCACTAAACAACAGTAAACACCCTTCAGGCCTATATTTATTGCTTATTATTATGCTAGAGACATACTGATCAGCTAGACCTGAGAGAGGAATCTCATTACGTTACTCACTATGAGAACACAGGAAAATAATTTACTTAATAACTAAACACAAGGAGACTCAAACACGTCAAAATCACTGTAACAAACACACACACGTGTGTACCCACACATTCAAGGAACACTAATGACTTTATTCATAATCCCCAGTCTTCTGTGTATGAGTTATGCTAATCATACAAAGCCAGTCAGGGAGTAAGAAACAGCACAGATGTGCAGGCAAGTTAACTCACATAAGTCATGGAGCACACAGTGTATCTGGATGTTCAGCTCAGGGTTTCCTGGACCATATTTCCTTTTACCATGGCTACTCCTATGACACGGATAGGAAGAGCAAGGCAATATGTTCTGTTCAAATGCCTTGCAAGAGGGCATTTTTCAGCTCAAGACAATCTCAAGGAAAATGAAATACAAAGCCTCCATCTCTTTCCTGTTTTGTGCCCACTCTTGTTAGAATGTGAAAGACATGCAAAAGCCAAAGCTTTTAATTCTCATCAGCCTCCCTGTTCCGAATAGCTCTATGCAGATTCCTTGAGGACATTTTAAAAAGTATCAAATGAGGCATAAATAATTTCTCTGACTCCTACTTTGGTCTTTAGCAGCTGATGTAATTAGAGCAACTTCTAAGACTAACTTCTTAACATGCATCAACATCAGCAAAAATGATACAAATACATTTAATATGAAGTTTAGTTCTCTTGCAGGCACCTAAACAGGCAATTGCAAGGAAAGAGCTGGCAACATGATATGAGATCAGAAAAACCTGAGAAGATAGTAACTTTTGCTTTGGCTTTAACTTTCACTTTAACAGTATTTAAAAAACAAAGCCTCTGAAAACCTTTCCAAGTTTGATCAGACTGGCAGGAAAATAGAATTAAGATTTTGCATTAGCAGAGAACTTCAGTACATCTCCTTGAATGAATTGGAAGCAGAGTGGTTTTTTGAAAGACAGCTCAACAATCTTTTTAGAAGTAAGGTGAAATTACCTTTATTTATTCAAAATACTCTTGGTAAGCTGCCCTTCAGATCACTATACACCGGAACAGACAATCCCAACCAGGATAATTAAGCTGTTTCGCAGAGCAAAAAACTATGTTTTTTCTTGCTAGCAGTGATTCCATGTGCAGCAACAGAAGCTGACATAAACACACTTCACACTTAATTCAGGCACAATATAGGAAAACCAGGTCTTGGCTGATGTCTTCAACACCATCCCATTAGTCTGAGGTCTCAAGAGAAACTTGCATCTTAGACAAATCAAGAAAAGCAAGCCTGCAAAACACTAAGGCCTCCAAAGTTCTTCACAGACAGCCCATTGTGCAAATTCTAAGTTTATTGGTGCAGTAATAATTTTCAAGAAATTCCCTAAACTTTCTCCTCACAATCTGAAAACCAGAAAATCATATATAGCAGACGTCAGACAATCTTATTCCAAACACTTACCAAACTATCTAGTCATTTTATCTAAAGAAATGTCTTCTCAAGTCACCAAATCCATCAAATACAACTGGTCTTTATTAAAAAAACAAACAAACAAACAAACTAACTAAAAACCCAACAAGGCTCATCTCTATGACCACAGAACTTTTAAGATATAAGGTAGCTGTCTGCAATATAGCACAAATTACAGGCTCCAGAAAACAAATTACATTACTGAATGGGGGCTTATTTCATAATGTGTTTCTTGGTATCCTCAAAAGTAGTTAAATTTGGAGTTAAGTGATGACCTAAACTCATTACCTAAGTGATGAGCCAAATCACTTGCTACATAAAACACCGAGTTCCTATTTTGAGAGTATCCTAGTTCTAGAAATCCCCAATTATTCAACTGGATATGGGCATTACCTGCACAAGACTCAAGTCCTGTCACTGTGTAAACCAGTTGCATTTCTCAAAGAAAGTTATAGGAGACCCTTTTAGAGTTACATCACTAGAATATTTTTCAGGCACATCTGTGGTGTCTTCATTACATGGTAACTGACTACTATTAGAGGAAAGGCATGCTGAATATCAATGTCTTTGCTTATTGTTCACAAGATATACAAGTGCAGAGATTCCTCCAAATAGTGGAAGCATAAATGAAATTATGAGGTAGGAGAAAAACTTTTAAACAAGATAAGCTGCACAACAGGACTGTGTTTTGAGACTTCCTAATCTCTTGAAAAGGCTGAACAATTCTGAAAAAAATCTATTGCATGCTACCTCTATATTGGGAGGAAGGTTAGGAGTACATAAAGCCTTAGACCAGCATTTTCTAACGGCAGGTTTTACACAGAATTGTCTTTCAATGTATTTAGGACACTGACCTGGTTGTGATGAAAATGAACATGATTAAGGGAAACAAAAAATATTGTCCAAAAGAGCATTCCCAGACAAAAAGTAAATTTTTCCACTCTCACCCAGCCGACACACCAGCTCTACTAGACTACTATAGCAGTCTAGTAGACATATCACTTCTTTTCCTGCTGTTTGGTTTTACCAACAGAAGTGAAGCTATAGTTACACTGCAAACCAAATGTAAGTAAAAACCCTTTAATATGACTAAGCTAAGGTAAAGTTGGGAACCTTGTAATTTTAAACTAAGAAAAAAAGTGCAACTAATAAACTGTTACCATCCCATCATTCTTCACAGCTTTTTGACTCAGAATGTCCATATCCTCTGTCAATCTCCATAATTTGAAATTATAATTACTTCAGGAAAAGAAAAATGCATCTGTCACTGCTGCCTCTATGCTTCTGAAATGAGCAGAATCTTGTTCCTGTAGGATTAATCATTCCAAGTACCAGGAGCAACTATTTCAGAATCTACACACCCTGCACTTGGCAATCTTGTTGAAGGAGCTGGTCTTGTAGAAATACATTGTCTATAAATTCTATACTAAGAAGAATAATCCTTTTTCTAAAGCATAATTGAAAAACACTGACTATGCAAAGTCGTTAAAAATATTATGACAATATGGGACTATAAAAAAAGCTTCCCCCTATTACACTGACAAATCCATACCAGCTTCTGTGCTACTGAACAGCTCAGCATATCACACCTTTTTGCAAAATACCACCCTAGTTTCAAATTAGAATGATCACATTTTCTCTGAGAATGATGTGATAACAGCACGATTAGACAAATCCTTTCACGATTCTCATCATTATACCTGAAACTAAAACTCTCATCTTCATGTTAGCAATTTCCAGGTTAGCTAGATCAAAGTTGGCCACATTTTCCCGTGTAATGAGGACATGCTTGACAAAACCATGGCCGATAATTCAAACTCTTTTAGCCACTTATTACTGATGAATGGAACATTTCTCAAGCAATACCCAATTTTCCTGAATTTATATTTTTTTTAAGTTCTCTTTTCTTTACCCCTGAAAAGTAGAAACATTTTCCAGCATTAATTACAACTGATATATAACACTGACTTCAACACGAAGTAGAAACTACAGCTGATCTAAGAATGTAAGACTACAGAGTTATTTTCCTGAAAAAAGCAATCCTGAGGTATCTATATAATTAGACTCTATGCAAGGAGAAAAATGGATGACTTCTAGAAATGCTGATTATAAGCTACTGGGACTCATAAGAACTGATGGGATCTTTCCACATAAAACATTTCATTAAAATTATGGCAATATGGCATGGCAACATTCAAATATTAGGAAAAGCTGATATTTTGTTAATGTCGAAATCTTAACAAAGAAAAATTAACTACAAGGAAATCATTACCACTAATGCTTTGGGTGTGGTGAGTTACAAACTACAGAAAGGCTTCAAATTTCTGTGCACAATGCTGAACTAGCCCACAAAGAATTACATTCCTGTGAGATACACAATGTGTTATTCTTCAGTATGAACACAGAACAGAACTTTGTCCCTGGAAGCTGCTTTTTCTCAAGGGCTTCATTCTATGCAGCCCCTTCCCACAGATATTCAAGGCTTCCTCTTATCCTGCAGCCTTCTCCTCTTACTCTCTTAGCACAAGAAAGTGGCCATAAAAAGTGCTTTCTAAAATTATCATTTTTTGAGAAAACTTTGACAATAATCTCAGGGCTGGCTAGTCACAGGTCCTCCAGCCTTCAGAAGGACAAGCTATCCAGTTACAATTAGCAAATCATTTTAAGTAGAATTACCAAATCATTATTTGCCCTGCACTAATGACATCAGTAAAAAGAGGTCATCAGAGCACTTCAAAAGAGCTCTTCAGTACCTGGGCCACAATATGAAATAAAATCTAGCTACCAAAGAGGATTACAAACAAATAATGTTATTCTAGTTTTTTTGAAGCCTGGGGCATTTGCAGCAATAATGTTTTCTAATCTTCAGAAAACTACATTCCCTTTACCTTTTAAAAGTACATCTAAATCATCCCCATATTTTATTAATGGAAATCTTAAATTTTGCTTAACTCTAACACCCATCTCTTTTTTTTTTTTTTTCTAGTATAAAATGCATTTTGATTTCACTAATCAGAATCCCATTGCATTTAATAGGTAGGTTATGGTAGCTCACAATCTAGCAAGTAAACTCATAGTGCTTAGTGCTAGAGGGTTTTGAGTTGATTTTTTTTTTTAATTTTCAAATTGAAATATAATCCAAAAAAACTGTTACTTAAGATAACACCCAACACAGCTGGTGTTTTCCAATTTGATTACCATAAATAACTATAAGCAGAATTAATGCTGTGTTTTGTCACATAATTCTGTCCTAATTAAAATCTGCACATTCCTTCAGTTCCATTTAGCCAATTCTTCCAGACAGCTAAAACCTGTCTCTTTCAACTTTCTTCTTCACACTCTTCCATCTGTTTCTTATCAATATTAGTCATCTTATGTTTAAATTAAAAAACACCTTCTTTCTCAAGAAGCCCAATAACATTTCAGTTTTCATAGTTGCTACTGCAAAATATGGGGACAAGCTACACAAAGTCCTGGTGGTACCGAGTGTACAAAACTGGACATGGCTGTCACAGAGGCACAGTGATTTTCTTAGGTAACAACAGACTGTGAGCTTGGGACAAATAATGAAATACCCTCATATACTGGAATAAACAACTGCTTTACTGTCAGAAAGTTGTGCACATTTCATTCTTGAAGAATCTTGCCAAGAGCAGACTCTAAAATTACTTGAACTGGAGCTGCTTGAATTGTCCACTATGTCTATCTCATTGTCATTCAGAGAAATACCTGCATATACAAATAAAAACAAAGATTTTAACCCACCTCTGACCAGCATGATAGCACCTGATGCTTCTTTTGCTAATGTCTACCTTTCTCCATAGTCCTGTTATCCTCTACCAGGATTGTTTCATATGTTCTTTCCTCACCTTTTCCATGTGCAGACTGACAACTGTCAACTGGAAGGTCAGTATTTTCTGAAAATTCACTTTTGCAACTGGTTGCTCCACTGCTGCTAAAATGCAGACTCAACTTCTCATCATTTTTCTGACAAGAAAGAACAAAAAGGCAATGTTAGATATTGTCCTTCTACAACACTCACTAGAAAATCCAAAAATTGAAGTGCCACTTGTACATACATATATAAAACTAGACTTAGCTGTTAGTCCAGGACTGCACAGTACCTGGTTCAGTTACTGATTCTAAATTTAGAACAAGACTTTCAAACTCTGCAACCAAACAAATTATTTCTATCCTTCACATATAAGGCTTTGTTCTTGATGACAGTCTTTTCACAACAAGCACTGAAAGTGAGAAAAATGAAACAAATGACAGAGCAGAAGCAAATACTGAAGAAAGGAAAAAGAACAGACTGGACAAACATAGTAGGTTCCCAGGGACAAGCACTGGTAGATTTGCCTTCTTTCATCTTAGATAACAAACAGCAATCCTGGAGCAGTTCTGGATAAATAAAACCTGCGTAACAGTCAAGGTACTAGTAAAATATGAAGTGAACTTCAAATGATGTTGTCATGGTTTGACACTGCCCCAGTGTCAGGCACCCACAAGAGATGCTCACCCACCCTCCCCTGTCACAGCTGGGCAAAAGAGGAACAAGGGAAGAAAAGTTAATGAAGGCTTCATGAGTGAGATAAGGACTGGGAGAAATATTTCAAGGGCAAATCAGGCCCAACTTTAGGTGTAAAGTGAAGTTTATTGCTAACAGAATCAGAGGAGGATAATGAGAGGTAAAATAAGGCCTTAAAACACCATTTCCCCCCAGCCCCTCCCTCCTTCCCACCAACAGTGCAGGGAGACAGGGCATGGGAATTTTGGTCAGTCCATCACCGAGATTTTCTTCCACTGCTCTGGAAGAGGAGTCCTTCCCCTCTGAGGCCATGAGGTCTCTCCCACTGGAGACAGTACTCCATGAACTTCTCTGGTGTGTGTCCACTCTCATAAGCAGTAGCCAAACTGCACCTGCTGCAACTTGAGTCCATCCCATGGGCACACAGTCCTCCCAAAACTCCTGCAACATGGGTCACTCTTCCACAGGGTGCAGACCTCCAAGGACAGGCTGCTTAAGCCTGGAAGCCAGGCCCCCTCTCCACCAGGTCTTCCACTGGTTCACAGCCTCCTCCAGGCATCCACCCACTCCTCCATGGGCTGTGGGTGGATCTCTGCAACCCCCATGGATCCCCATGGGTTGCAGGGGCACAGCTGCTTCGCCATGGTCATCATCAGGGCCTGCAGAGGAATTTTGGCTCTGGCACCTGGAGCACCTCCTCCCCTCCTTCTCCACTGACCTTGGTGTCCCCATGTTGTTTCCCTCATGCATTCTCACCTCCTCGTCTTCACTGACTAGAAACAAAACCCATAATTTTGTTTTGATTTTCTTTTTAAATATGTCATCACAGAGGAGTTACCAGCCTCTCTCACTGGCCCAGCTTTGGCCAGCATCATGTCCATCTTCCATTGGCTCTGCTAGACATGGTGGAAGCTTCCAGCAGCTTCCCACAGGATCCATCTTTGTGGCCTCCCTGCTACCTAAAACCAGGCTGTGCCAAACCAGTACAGATATGATGCCAGAGAGACACGGAGGCTGAAATGACCAAATCCTACTGGCATTATCAAAGCAGAGCTACAAAAATCAAATAATGGAATACAAATTATTTTCTTGTAACATTTAAGTGCCGCATCTTGTTTGTTATCTGATGCATATAAAATTCTGCCCCTGCTGCTGTCCATGTTTATAGTTTTCCTGGAATAAATAGAAATCCCTAGTCCCTGCTATTGCTTCTATTTTAATGTAACATATTTTGAAGGAAGACTTTTTATACTCTTCAACTGATCCAAATCTTCACATATTATTTCTGTTATTTCTGTTGTGTGTAAATAAATTCATGTTTCTTTTTACTCCGTCTTGTCAAAGTAAAGCATAACAAAGGAGGACAGGAGATAAATTATATAAATATATCAGATTAAACAAATTAGTATCTTTAATATTAATTTCCGAATATAGTACATTCCTAAATACTTATATTCTATAAGTATTCTCCATATTCTATATATTCTATATATACTGAGTCTGCATAAGACAAATTGTTCTGTATGTAAGACAACATTCTTTTAAAGTTTTTCCCATGAAGTGTTTTGACTTTATTAGGACACAGCAGAGTGAATGCACTAGAAACTTTCTCCTCAGAAACTTCACTGCCTCCCTGAGTATTGATTATACATACCACTGCCTACATACTGATCTGCTTCACCTTTGTTCCAGTCCCAAATCTATAAGCAAGAGATGGCTTGTTAAGGTTTTCTCTTTAAATTCAGGTGGAAAAAGGTAATTTTATACTTCAGCACTGGATGGAGGTTATGTCCAAAATGCCACAATAGCAGTGACTGTAGTGTAGCACAGCAAGAAAACCACTTACGATGACTCTCAAACTGACTCGAAGAGCACTCCAGTCCTGGCACACATGAACACACTTCTCGTGCCCTGAACAGTCAGTGCAGTTACTGAAGAGAACCAGTTCATCTGCTCCACATCAAAGGAATCAAAGCAAAGACAGAGAAGGGTCAAAATGCATGGACATTTCAAACTTAAATCTCCTTTCAACATTTTCAGTATTGAACCTCAAACTCAAAAGACTCATTGTTAACAATAACTTGTAAATCAGGCAGAGCTGAGGGGGGCAAAAAGATCAAAAAGACAGCTGATACCAACTGGTGCCAGATCTCACTGTCCATTAAGAAAGGAAACTTGTTTGAAGTGTCTGAATGGAATTGCATAGACCTCAGCCTGAAAATAATGGACAGACCTACTACAGAAATTATTAAAATATCAGTGGAACATATCTTAAAGTGTTAAAGCAGTTATATAAACTGTAAAGCTATAACCTGTCTAGAAAAAAATCTGGTCCATTTACATAGCGCTTGTACCTAGAAAACTATAGTGTTTATTACTAATCTGAGAATAATAAATAAATTTGCTGTGACATAGCTTACTCCACCTAGAAAATATCTAATAATTTTAAAAAGTGATATTATGTACCTTTTTTTCCCTTTTTAGTAGGACACTGGCTGATTTAGAAAAGTACCCTGACTAGAAGAGGATGGGATGCAAGTTCAATGTCACTTTTGCTCACCACAGCAGAGGGACCAAATTAACCTACATAAGGATATAAGGTTATGAAGAACATTATTTTTTGGTAAGTTCATGGAGAAAAGTGTACTCCAACACATTGCAACGATCATTTTCATATACCTTGAAGTCTCAGAGAGACTTCTTTCAGATAAGGAGCAAGACAGATGCTTATCTGTCTATGAAACTGGAATATTCAAAATATCCCAAACATTGAAAAAGGAATTAGGTTGATATTTATTCATTTGAACTGTGCTCACACCTACACTTGATTCCAGAGTCCAGTATTTTACCAATCTCTCTGGAGGCTCCATCAGCTGATATAGTTTATTTTCACATTCTCCTTATAACTAGTGCCTCAGTTTTCCCATTCACCAGATTAATTGTTGAAACAAATTCTGCCTTCATGTATAAGAAACACAGTTAGAAAGGAAAGCTAAGGGTAAAAGTCTCCCACAAAAAAATGTTCAAATGATGAACCAATTAACATTTTTTCCAGCATTCATCTACTGTTATTACTGAGCAAAAGCACCTCTGGAAATTTGTATCCCAGCCATGAACAAAACTTCTCTCTTCATTAAGATCCTGTATATTTGCACTGTCTATCTCTTCATTGGCAACTATCAACACGTAAAATCGAGATATACTTTGTTTTTGGAAAAGTGAAACCTGAATTGTGGGTTTTGTCTTCCAAAGGGAATCTAAAAGTTGTTAGAGTAAGAAAAAAAAAAAAAAGTAGGTTGAAATAAAATAAAAATACTGATCTTTTATTTAGCCCTGTTTTGTTATCCAGAAGAATTAACTTTTCTGTCTTCATGAAATATAGAACTCTCTAGTGGCATTTGCAAAAAGCATTTAATTAATCTTCTTCATTAGAGACATTTACAATTACAGCATTATGCTGTCAATTGAATTTATATTTAAAAAAAAAACCAAAACAAATAAACAAAAAAACCCTACAACTTATTTCCACTGGTAAACTACCAATAAAAAAAGTAATATATAACATGAAATTGGCAGGGAAAAAAACGAGTTAAACCAATATATCTTTTTCAGTAAGATGGTAACAGCTCCTGTGCTTTAGGAAGAAGAAGTAGATGCTACATATGTGGGTTTTAGCAAGGTTTTTGACAATGTTTTTCATAAGGTCCTAGAAGAAAGCTAGGAAGTGTGAGCTAGACAAAATCACAATCAGTTGGCTGAATAATTGACCATAAAAACTGTACTCAACTTGGTAACTGAAAATGGGTAGCAAGCACAATTTATCAGACTTCTTTTTGACCTTGCTCCAAAAGCACTCAATGTTGTCACTGAATTACAGTGACAATCTGCATAATGGATAGACAGAGCGCCTATTAAAGGTGCCCAGACTGTGATACATTCACATCATACATCATAGTGCAGCATATACATCATACACAGAGCTGTGCCAATGAAAGTGACAGCTGGTGTCAAAGATAGTTTTCAGAAACTGGACAAACTAAAAGAACTGATGAAGTTTAAGTAGGGAAAATGCAAAGTTCTGTGAGCAAGAAGAAACAACCATACAACTGCACAGACTAGAGAAGGACTGGTGACAGAAGCTCTGCAGCAAAAGACTTGGGGATTTTGCTGAATCAGAAACAGAATATGATGCGACAATACCATGCTGTATTGAAAAGGTAGACATCATGCTGGGATATACAAAAAAGAGAATAATTCTGAGAATTTGTGTATTCTTTCTACTTAGTACCAAGAAGATTCTAAGTTGGAGTAATTAGGTCCAATTTTGAACTACTACACTTAAAATCATGTCAATTTTACTTCTTAAGTCATTTTCTGTAGACCTCTGATTCTCATTTCTTTCCTTCTCTTTTTCCACGCTTTTTATTATTCAGCTGAAATAAAATTTATAAAAAGAAAA